TAGTGGAACCTAGAAGAGATAGCCCAAGTCATCAGAACTAAAACTTTGGATGGAATTAAAAATCACTAACTTTTCTTTTTCTCTGTCAGCAGGGAGGTTTAGCTATCTTTTGTTCTAATCATTTGCTTTGTAGATTCTTTACAAATTTGTGAAACAATGCTGTTCCCCCGTTGTAATCCCTAAATTGAATTCCACCATTTCTCATTTATTTACATAATCGAGAAATCTGGGCACACAGATGGATGCAGACCATTGCTGGTTGAAACTGATGTGTGTGCGCGTGATATCTGGATCTAGTTTCCATTCTTCACATTGCAAGGTTTCTGACACAATATAGGTGTACGTTTGTTGCAGCTTTATTAAGTGAAGATACTTTGAACTTGATGGTAGATGCACTTTAGTTTTTCCTATAGAGAGAACTGCTAAGACCACCAGAAAGCAATGCTTTAACAAACGAACAAGTGGTAACAAATGAACAAGTGCTCAGTTTCAACAGTCCTCCAATTCACCATTGTATGGGATTTATACTTGAAGATTATCATTGGGTATCTTGCATCTTTGATCTAAATTCATACTCTTAAAGGAAGAAATGGTACACATTTCTTTGTGGGGTGTATTACAGGAAGTTTAACTCACTGTTTCTGCAACTATTTAAATATAGTAGGTAGGCTTACTGCTTATCACTCTTCAATGAAGCTCCATTCCTGCCTGGAGAAGGCTACAGTTCATTCTACACAGATGATTCTCCTCTTTTATTTTATATTTTTTAATCCCGCCTTTATTATTTTTATAAATAACTCAAGGTTGAGAACATACTTAATACTCCTTCTTCCTCCCGTTTTCTCCATAACCACTCTGTCAAGTGAGTTGGGCTGAGAGTGACTGGCCCAAAGTCACCTAGTTGGCTTTCATGTCTAAGGCCAGGACTAGAACTCACCATCTCCTGGTTTCTAGCCCGGGTGATGCACTAAGCTTTCTAGTGCAATCCATAACTATAGCTGTATCTATCTCAGTTCATCTATCTGCTCTCACGGCGTACTGCATTAGAAGTACAATCGTCTTTTTCCCTTATTGGGTTTTCAACTGCCAATAAGGGTTTAGCAAGAGGGAAACGCTACTATACCTGTTGGATCATATTGTGGAAGTTGAACCACCCATGAAAAGGCAATGTAGTTGTGTAAATAGTTTATTCAGTCATATGCCATGAACAGATCAGAAAAGTAACATGAATTGCTTTTATAAAACACCTATAATATTGCTAAGAAGCAGATCTATCTACTAGATAAAAGATCCAAGAGAACATGCCAATATTACAGCCTATTTTGTCATATTGAAGTATTGCAGTGTGTTATGAATTCTCTTGCAGGTGTTTATGGGACCTCAAATAATATTGCTGAGCTGGATATTACTCAAATGAAAAATATTAATCTTCCATCATGGAAAAGATGTAATCGTGGCATGTTCTCTTCTGCATGTCAAATATACATTGCTGAATTCTGTCAGCATGTTGGCAGTTGTTTAAAATAAATTTTCTGTAAAGAGACAAGCAAAGGTTAATGAAACAACTTTTGAGCCCCAGACTGTCCATTTAGTTAAATATAAAAACAAAACTATAAGTTAAGAACATTCAGATTGTATAGCACAGGTTGATGCATTTTTAAACAATATTTACAGTATTACCCGAGACTAGAGTGGGAATTAAAGAGAAGTGTAAAAACCATAAAAAAGCACCAATTTTGTAGCAAAATATCTGTACATTTAAAAACATTATCATATAACTACACATTATCAAAGGAATATGGGACCTTGACCAGTCGTTCACAGAAGCACAATATAAAAAAAAAAGAATTAAGTGGTTAAATACTATACAATAAATTTTACAATTAACATAATGATGCAGTGCTACCAGCAATGTGAAGGATGTAGGCAAGATGATTCTCTTATCTTCCAGTTTTTTACTTTGGAGGAAAAAAATTCAAGGGTCCTACCTTGAAACAATATTGATAAATAAGACGGTAAAATTAGCTTAAAGCTTAACATATGAGCATCCCAATCCAAAAAGAGGATATCTAAGCATTAATCGTCTGAATTTTCCAAGTATATCTAGGAGAAGGCGTGGCAGAACCTAGGGCGGACTTAAAAGAGGAACCAGTCTAGAATCCATACGTAAGCCACAAGCAAACTAAGTCCAACTTCTTGAATTCTGTTGATCCTTATCTAACTCCAAGCAGCTGTTAACCATTAGTTAAGCATATTCCTGTGCATGGGCATTAGTAGTAATGAATCAATTGAACTGGACCTGATCTGATCTTTCGTGCCTGACAGTATCCAGCTGCACTGCATTACATTCAACAGTTTGTGTAACCTGAATGTTAACTGAAGGCAATCCAGTGCAGAAACATTGAAAATGGATTGGTGCAAAGAATAAATGGAAGTGAACTACGCAATTTCCTTTGTAACAGAATCCCACAGCATTCCTGCAATGTTACCCTAACCTTGTTAGTAGGGCACTGCCTTTTCACCATTTTGAGAATTGAGCAGTTTGTGATCCTTATGAATTCTAATACTGATTATTGAGAAGTTAATACCTTAGTGCTAATTAATAAATATCATTGTTACCCCAGGGTTAGGGTTAAGGTTATGCTTGCCACTTTTTTAAAAAAACAACAACACAATAACTGTGTGCAGTGTGCCCATCCTCTGCAGCTATATCCCCTTGTTTTACCTTTACCATCCAGTGGTGTGTACTAGGTAGAAGTTGAAAACAGGCAACTGTGTATTTAATCTAAATCCCATATTATTCCCACATTGTATTTACAGCAGAAATCCCTCTAGCTAAACCAATTAGCTTTAAATCTTGTCAACTGTATTCACATCTCCCTTAACATTTGCTTTATGGATATTTCCCCCCAGCCTTAGAGTGAACTAAATGTTCTTAAAGGGTCCAAGTTATTTTAATATCTTTTGCTCCTTTATATATGATAAAGTTCTTCTCCATGCATACATGTACACGTATGTGTGTGTATATATACACCCACATGTATATAAACACACACATACACATCTATATAATGCTAGTAAGTGCAGCTGAAGCTCAAAATTAACTCTTCAAAGTGTTCAGGAATGTACTGAAAATATTAAAAAAAAAATCTACAGCAGCTCTTATCAGAATATTCCCTATTTACAACCTGTTATGAAATAAAAAAGTCCACTGAAGGCTATTTACTAAACCGTATGTAACAATAACAAAAAAAAATACAGTATGTATTTTACATTTTGGTTAAGAACACTGAAGAAATTTTATTGGTGTAAAAAGTTACCCAATCAAAAAAAAAAAAGTCCTATTGCTTTCAATAATTTGAGTAGGTCCTTGAAATTTAGGCACTTGGTAGCTACAGTTGTATGGCCAGCCCATTATAATTTTTTTTGCTTTAAATTTTTTATTTTTCATTCCTATGCATTTTCAGTCCTTACTGAGCCCTTCAGAAGACTAGTTAAAGGAATTCCGAACAAGGCCATAATGAAAATGGCCACATAAACAGAGTCCGCGTGGTGAGGAAGCGATCAAGGGCACTTTCTACTGGTTTGCTGGCGCAGTTTCTCCCATCTGGCTCACATAGCCAGTTCAGCACCATTGACAGCACGTAGGTTCTGATCGTCAACACGCCGCCGGACGCTTCTCCTCACCGCATCGGCTCGTCGGTAAGGTTGGTTTCTAAGATCTGTGGGAAAACAGTGGAGGAGTCAGAAGCTGACCAGCCCGATTTTGGATCCAGAGAGGGAGGGTCCTGCTGGCAGCCCATCAAAGCAGCTTGAAGCCAAGGAGAAAAGGGACCACTTAGGATTCACAGAGAACTGAGCAAAGAGCATAGAGGGGCCTATTTTCACCACCTACTAAAAAAATGCAAGGAGAATTTTTCTTTCTCTTTCTTTCTTTCTTTCTTTCTTTCTTTCTTTCTTTCTTTCTTTCTTTCTTTCCTTCCTTCCTTCCTTCCTTCCTTCCTTTTTGCAAGCCTATGCTGGGGACAGAAGCTTCTGATCCCTTGATGGCAGCTCCACTTTGCTATTTATGAAGCAGCTGTAGGAGCTGTTTCTCCTTCCATCCTTGCCTCTCCTTCCTGAATACCTCCACAAGTGGAAGGCTTTCATCAGCTCTTTCCTTGCAGAGTAAATCACTCTCTGGAAGAAAGGTCTCCCATCACAGGCTCAGCCATGGGACATCAACCCAAATCTTCACTAATGATCTCCCTTAGAAAGAAGGAAGAAAAGGGCCGATGATCCCACAATCCCAGAAGGGAGGGAGAGGAGAAAGGAAAGATGCTAGTAGGGACAGCTGTGACTCAGTGTTAACCTCCACTGAAATCTGGGAGGCTGCTGAGCTCTTCAAAAATTCCTCCTTCTCTTCCTCCTCCTTCCATTTTCTATTTATCAAGGGATAAATGCTGTTCAGTCTAAAACTATATAGATATACCTCAACAGAAACAAGAGTGACAAACAAGCACTACCCTTTCTCTTTCTCTCTTCCCACAACTTATCCCAAAGATCCTTTCGTCCATGTGTCCTATCTTCCCAAGCTACATCGAATTTCCCAGCTAAATTGGCTCTGCCAATCCCAATTCTAACAGGTGAGCTGACAAGAGTAGCAAAATAAAACAAAATAAAATAAACCAGGGGCTAGTAAAGGCTCTTGTTACTGCCGAACAGTATTATTAAGAGCAAAATAGGTAAATCTCGCAGCTGGTAAAAGTGATGATTCGCCATTTTCATTTCCGCCCGATGCCCCAAGGGATCCCGTAGTGAATCCTCTGCTGAGAAAGGACATTATGTTGACTTCGGATGACTTGCTAATACCTCGTCTCACCTTAAGGAAGAGGAGTGGGAATTCAGCGGAGAGCTCTAAGGCCGTGAGTAAAGCCTGAGATCAGGTTTACGCTTCTTCTGAGCTACAGAAGTGATTGAAAACATTGCGCTGTAGGTAGGCTAAGAAAGTTTGACTCCTAGTGACTTCGTGGATGTCACTTGGCAGTTTTAGTGGCAACTTATAGCCTGCCATTCCCTTCTGCCAGGATGTCTTCTGACCTCTCAGTCTAATCTACAGCCCTGTTTTTCGTGGGGGTCTTTGTGCCAAGAACTAACCAGTCCAGGCCCTGTTTAACTTCTGCTGTCTGAAAAATACTTTCACCTGCTGAGATGTGGTATAGGTTGTGTTAGCATCTTAAGGGCCACCTCACAGGTAGAGCTGGTTTGGTCCCGATTCCTGTTCTTAATAAAGTGTGTGAGTAAGGCTGATTGGCGTTTTCTTTCCATTACAGCAGTGCCTGGATCAGGAGCTCACCATCCTGATCTAATACGATTAGTAACCCCAAAGCCAGGTCTTCCCAGGCTCTTCACAAGTGAAGCAAATGAAGGCAGTGAAGGATGGGGCAAATCCCTCCTTTTATCTTCCATCAACAAGATTTCCTAAGATTTTTTTTTTCTACACACGTAAGAACTGTCCGCATATATAAAATGTCTGTTCTCTGGTATCTGCTCTGCCGGATTCTTAAGTCCAAGATAGATGAGATCAATACATTTCGGGATGTTTTGAAGGGGGAAAAATATGTTTCCATTTGACATTGGTCTTTTTTTCACTTGGCTGCCTTTCCTACGCCTCACTCACTCTTGGAAGTCTGCTTTCGTATACTTTGCTCAGCTCTTGAGAATCCCCGCTGTAACTGAACCTACAACCCGAAACAGCAAGAATGTAATAATGCCTCAGTCCTGGACCAGAGGATTCAGAAGGAGCGGCCAAGTTCTATGGGAGAGGCATTCAATTGGTGACAATCACAAAGTGATTTATAACTTTATAACTTTATGCATGACAGACTCGTGAGGCCAGCGTGATGTGCAATTAGTTCACAGAATAAGTTGGGGGGGTTGTAGTCACCATGAGTTTGTGGTGAGGGGGGGCACAGAGGGAGGCTCAGCCAATTTCACTGTATACATGTTATACTTTGATAATAAAGGGTTTATTTATTTGTTTGTTTGTTTGTTTATTTAAAGTCTCCCCCAAAGTTCACATAGGCCAACAACTTCCCTAAGGCCAAGATAAATAGTTTATTGCCAGGAAGCAGGTCCAGCCCATTTGACTTGCTGGCCCAAGTAGAGGAGGATTGCAAATCAATGATAATTGATCACAAATCAATGTCTGCAGGTGAATCTCTGTCTCTAAAATGTTTCACAGGGTTGTTGTTGTTGTTTTTTTGCACAGTAGCATTCTCTCTGGCCTTGGTGGTTGTGCATGTGAAACAGTCACCACCTGACTTCTCAATATTTTAAAGGGGCATGTGCTTCCCTCCCCCCAACTTAATGCTTATCCCAGGAAAAGATTTCATGAGTTCAATCTCTATGCACTGGGATTCCCTTGGAGAGGGATGGGCATTGAGGCCTGCAGTTCCTGTCCCCCGCCCCCTTATGCTGGTCCCAATATCTTCTTGAGCTCCCAAACATCTATAGACCTCCAGATCGGATTCTGGGGGTGGAGGGGAGAGTTTATTTTGGAGGCATTTAAGCCATTAACATGTTCTTGGAAAGTCCTTCACCCACTTTGGTGACATCATCAACTATCCCTGTGGAACATTTTGTAAAGCAAGAGTTTTGCATGTAAAAAAAAAAAAAGTGGTCCGCTTCTATAAGAGCAACTCAGCTGCTGGAATCTGGGAGAAAGTTGGCAGCCTTCTTTTATGCCCCCTCTTCCCTCCCTCTGCCCCTAATATAGGCCAAGACATAAAAGCACAGGCAAAGCACCCCTCCTTTTAGAAGGCAATGCAGAGATGAAAGAGAGAGCAGCGATCATTGATCAGTGCTACAAGTGAAGGAATCCCACCTATATGGCACAGACAAAGGGTAGAATTGCTAGATGGCCCAGCAATGCTCCCAGGCCTTAACTGGACACAGGTCCTTTCTGTTCCTAGGATCTATCTTGCAGCAAATTTTGTGTGGCATTCAGAGAGAGGAGGAAGCTAAATAAAAAGAGATGCTTGCCAGCTCTGTGTATCCTCCACCACCGGTGTGCTAGAAGAAATCCTTACCCTCGAGTGAACATTTGGAAATTTAGTGATATTATTCTTCTTTAAGGCTAAACAAGAAGGGGAAAAAAAAACACAGAATGAAGGTTAAGTTTAAAATGGGATGGAACATGACGAGCAACTCAATTCAGTGCCCCAAAGCAAAGCAAAACAAAACAAAGCCAAAAACCACACTCCGTTTTAAAGGTCCAGCAGGTTAGCAAAAAAATAAATAAAATAAAAGCAAGAATGAGTGAAGCCAAAAAGTAAAGAAGATTAAACAGAGAAAAATACAGCCCACCCTAACCATTAGCCAATTAAACTCCAAGCTGCTTTGAACATTGGCTCCAGAACAACCAGGCAACATTTTCATTGGAAAGAGCTAGCAGGATTTGGACAGATTGTATCGCTTTCTTTTATACCTTCTGTTGTTATATCAAAGGCGACAATATTAACAGATATTCAACCGCCACTTTGTAACAGTTTACATCAAAAGATTTCAATGCATCCAGTTCCATGGCAATCAGCTTGGGATGTTTGTTATCCAGAGACAATTTAAGACAGATTGTGGCCAGCTTTGTTTTTTCAAGCAGAATAGTCTTTGACTTTCTCCTCCACCGTTGTTAATCCTTGGTGAGCTAGCCTGAGATTGGTTTAACATTCATGTAGATCTTCTCACTTCTTAGCTCAAAACTCAAGGCTGCTTGTGATTGGGGTTAATCTGGTTCCTGATTTTTACTTCGAAATTTTGACTTTAAATTTCCCAAATTATTAAACCAAGAACAGCTCCTGTGTTTTCTTAAAAGTAGTATTCATATAGAGGCATTCGTAGGTTTTCAGCTACATTGGCATGGAACTGGAGCTAACACAGTTATGGGTCTGGCAGGATAAAAATGGAGGGAGGGAAAAGAGTTTGACATGCAGACACCAACATGCAAGCAGTGAGTAGAATGACGAATATGAAAAAAATGCTTTTGCAGATCCCAAACCAAGTTCCCCCCCCATCTCCCAAAATTTAACTTTTCTTTTGAGGTGTACAGCATTTCTCTCCAAAGTGGGCTACAGTGATTCTGATCTAGCCTGGGCAACTTGCTGTAACTAACTTTTCTTGAGCTCCCAAGAAAGCCATCAAGGGTTAGGAAAATTACTGAGAAACAGGTATCCCGTGAACGACTCCTTAACTTCCTATTTTCCTAGCCCTTATAGCAGGTACCATGTGAGCCGCAGAAAAGACACAATTACATTGAGGGAACTCATATACTAGATCTGAAGCATCTCTACCCACTTCGGATCCAAATACTGCATACCTCTATTTCTCATACAAACATGGCTTATTACTTCCAGATAAAGGCTTAATACCAGGAGTTATGCAACAGTGATCAATTTACTAAGATCAAGAAGAACCCAAAGTAGAAGAGCATACAAAAAATAAAGGGAATTGTCTGTCATGATTATCGCTACACCCCTCAACAGTTGCTTGTAAATTGAGTGGAGTGGCTGGCAGCACAGATTTCCCATATTGGCTATTCTATGGCTTTTAGCAACTAGACTGGAGGAGTGTCCAACGTTGGCAAGTCCATAACTTTAAGACTTGTGGACTTCAACTCCCAGCCATGATGGGTAATTCTGGGAGCTGAAGTCCACAAGTCTTAAAGTTGCCAACGTTGGATACCCCCGGGTCTAGACCCTGAAATGAATGGGGTGGAATAAGCTTTCACATGGTGGGTGGAAGGGAGCAAACCATTACTGGCAGACAGGAACGTGCAGGGAGATGATGGTCAGGGAGATGGTCATGTAAAACGTGATTCCACAGGGATGCCAGACGTTACAGACCCCATTCAACACCCCCATTGCCGTAAAGTGGAGAAATGTGAAAAAAAAAACCTACAGCAACCTTTTATTTTTTAAAGAGGATCAGCTGTGAAAGAGGAATAGTTTAGTAATGGAATTCCTCTGTGAGAACAGGTTCGCAGAAAAACCGAGAGCCACGCTTGGCCGTTCGGGCAGTAAAGGGCACCGTCTTCAGCACTGCATGAAAATAACAGCCAGACAAGACAGAAGACAGTAAGAAGCAAAGATCTCTTGCATTAGTATACGATTAGTGTTTTATTAAAGGCACCCTGCAGCAGATCATCTCTCAATTAACCACAATAAGGGTTGTGTGACTGGGTTCCTGTCAAAATACCTTTCCACCTTGATGGCAGCCACTGGGTTTTTTTATATACTGCTTTGTCTCAGCTTCCCTTTGCGGGTTGATGTTCCCTCTCCCTGCTCCCCATAAATTGGGGCTGGATCAATTCCCGTTGCACTTTCACGCTTAAAGCCAGTTTGACTTTAAAGACTCCACAGAGAAGTTCTTGCCATTCTAGTGGAGTCTTTGCAGAACATCCGTGTACCTACCTACCATCTGTACAGCTAGTTGTGTATACTTATTATTGTGTGGCTACAGTAATATAGTAATAAATATTTCTTGCGCTTCTCTGTACTCATAAGCGTAGTGCCAAATACAACATTCAGAAAAAGTGGATGGATGACTGCCAATGTAATAATAATTAAAAAAAGGTAAGCTTAAGATATAAAAAGCTTCATCCATTCTGCTAGGACAGTAGAAAGCATGCAAATCAAACTGCAGCAAGTAATGGGTCTGTGTCAGGAATCTTATGTTGTCTGTCCAAGCTGTCTTTCTCTTATCTATTACAAATTAGACCCAGCCATTGTGTCCCTATTGTGTTCAGTTATGAACTGCAAATAAGAGGGTGCATAAAGTTTGTTGCCAGAAGAATACGCAATCCCACAGTTTCATGCAATTCAGCATCTCACATGAAACCATGCCTTCCATTACTCCTTTACAGATAGTTCTCGCCAACTATCTCATTTAACAACTGTTCAAAGTTAAGATGGTGTTAAAAAAAAAATAGCTGTGTGACCGGTCCTTACACCTGTAGTCACGTCATTGCCATTTCTGTGCTTTGCAATTGGCTTGTGACAAGCCGAGTTAATAGAGAAGGCGGAAGTAAAATCGTAAATCATGGTCACGTGACGTTTCGCTTAGCAATCATGGTGCTTAGCAATGGAGTTGTTGGTCCTAAATGTGCTTGTTAAGCAAGAACTACCTGTAATGCTCTTGACTATTAATGTTAGTAGTAATTTTACAGTAATGTGAACTTTTAAGGACTAGGTTAAAACACTAACAGATTTGCAAACAAATGAAACCAATTCCAAGATTTCTCTAGCATGCCTCTGATGAACACAGCAAGACTGTACGGTCTATGGCTTTCATTGTGACAACATGAATAAATACACAGTGATGTTTCAGTGAGACTACTGCCACTAAACAGGCCTAAAGGCCTGAAATTTGACCAACTTAAATTAATGGTGCATCAATTAACGTTCCTACTTGTTATCGTTTACAAGGCCCTAACCAAACAATTAAAAGAGAACACTAGAAATAAATTTTGTGTGTATTGTGTTTTTGAAACAGGCTCTTTGGCGTATGCGGGGGGGCCCCACGGGGGCTTTACCTGTGATGATATCTTCAATAGCGCCATCTTTTCCTTCATAAACATGTCTGTTGTCCTTGACTTGTCGTCGTCTTAGCTCTGCAATTAGTTCTTGCTGCTGTCGCTTAGTTTTATGAGATGGAGACTGAAAGACAGTGGAAGAGGGTTACACCGCTGAGTAAAGATTAGCGCTTAAAGAGACAGTAGCGCTCCTTTCCCTACTAATAGAAACGCTACATCTGGGAGGTAATACAGCTAGTTCTTAGGACTTATGACCACCATTTCCATTGTTAAAACAATTGTTAAGTGAATACTGTCCCATTTTACAACCTTTCCTGCCACAGTTGTTAAATGAATCACTGCAGTTGTTAAGTCAGTAACACCGATATTGAGTGAATCCGGCTTCCCCGTTGGCTTTACTTGTCAGAAGGTCGCAAAAGGGGATCCCGTTTGACTCCCTGGACACAGCAGCTGTCGTAAGTGCATGCCGGTTGCCCAGCATCCAAATTTTGATCATGTGACTATAGGGATGCTGCAGCGGTCGTAAGTGTGAAAAATGGTCATGTCCCCTTTTTAAGGGCCATTTAATGTCAAACTGTCACTAAACGAATAGGTGTAAGTTGAGGGCTACCTACACGGGAAGCTGTTCTATACCAAAGCAGCTCATCTAGCTGAACACAATCGACTCCTGCGATAAAGATTATCAGGGGACTGGAGGCTAAAGCATATAAGGAACGGCTGCTGGAATTGGTATGTCTACTTTAATGAAGAGAAGGACGAGGGGGGACATGATAGCAGTGTTCCAATATCTCAGGGGTTGCCACAAAGAAGAGGGAGTCAAGCTATTCTCCAAAGCGCCTGAAGGCAGGACAAGAAGCAACAGATGGAAACTAATCAAGGAGAGAAGCAATCTAGAACTAAGGAGAAACTTCCTGATAGTTAGAACAATTAACCAGTGGAACAACCTGCCCCCAGAAGCGGTGAATGCTCCAACACTGGAAGTTTTTAAGAAGAGACTGGACAGCCATTTGTCTGAAATGGTATAGGATTTCCTGCCTGAGCAGGGGGTTGGACTAGATGACCTCCAAGGTCCCTTCCAACTTTATTATTATTATTTTTTATTATTATTATTATTATTATTATTATTATTATTATTATTATTATTATTATTATTATTATTATTATTATTAGCTACCTGAAGTCTTCCTGATACTTCAGATTTAAATTTGCCTACCAACCAAGAGGAGCAACGACAGCAGCCTTTCCCAGGTTCTCAAAAGGCAGATAATGAATCCTGAATACTCTGTAATGCAAAGCATGTATTTCCCCCCAGTTGTGATATTTTAGTATCTTCAGCCTGATCTGTAACTTAATAGTCTTCTTTGTTAAACTCTTGCAAATTATTTCCTAACTTTGCCACCTAATTTCTAGATTACCTGGAAGCAAACAAAAATAACAAAAGTATTGAGTTGATCCTGAAAAATGAAATACTATTGTTCAAAAATGCCCCCCCAAAAGCCCATTATTTCAACAGGGCAAAAAAAAAAAAAGATTTCTGGACATTTTATGTTCAATGCACACACACACTGTAATTATATAGTTCAGGGGTATCAAACTCAATTTCATTGAGGGCCGCATCAGCATTGCGGTTGCCCTCGGGGTGTGTGTGGCCAGGGTGTGTGTGGCCTACTGGGTGAGCATGGATGGAGTGGGTGTGGCCTACTGGGTGGGCATGGCCAGCTCTACATCGTTCGTGTCAAGGGTGCCTGTGGGGGCCTGGGCAGGAGTGGGACAGATCTGAGGGTCTCTGGCAGAAGGGGGTGGGACCGGGGCAAGTGCCAAGGCATGGTCCATTTCTTCATTCCTCACAAAGGGTGACACTTCCCCAGCATGCACCCAGGGGGCGGGGCCAACATGGTAGGGGCTGGTTCCTCGCTGTTTCCAGATGGCCTTGTGGAGCTAAGACTGAATGTGTTTCAGCATAGATGGCCACCAAAAAATTGTACATTGGCTCCCGGCCAGCCTGGGCCAGGGCCAAAGCAGCGGGGGCCATTCCCTCACTGTTTCCAGGATGGCTTCGCGGGCCACATGAAACCACTTCGCGGGCCGCATCCGGCCCCCGGGCCTTGTGTTTGACATGTCTTATATAGGTTCATAATATTTTTAATCCCGTAAACAAACAGGAAAGCAATCTTGCCACAGTCGCAAATGCTTTAGGCATTAAAATGTTTTTTTCTCTATAGAGATAACTCTCTCTACGGTATATACAACATACTGTATAGAGATAACTCCATATAAATGCTATAGAATAAATCGTATTTACACACCATTCAAAAGAGACAATTAAAAAGAAGGAAATGAGAACACCAGAACACATTCTCTCAAGCAGTCAACATCCAACTAAGCAAGAGGTAATTCCAGACAAACAATCAAGCAGAAAACAATACCCTAATTAAGGAGAAATCCACCCTGCTACAGAGATTGGCAGGGCAAGCTACTACATAGAAACTGGGAGCAAACCCCACGCTCACTTGCAACAATGATATTACCTGTTGGATAATGAAATGTCTGCATGCAAACAACCAGGCCTCTATATAATTGTTAACTAGGTGCTTTTGGTATCGGATATGGGAAGCAATGTACTTGTAGTCCAGGTGATCTATAGCCTGATCCGTAGGACTTGCAAATATACATTATGATAAGTTTTGAGAGAAAGAGAATTCTGGAAAATGCAGGTCTTCATTGATATTTAAAGAAGTTAATTTACCGTTTTCTTGGGAGTTTTTCTTTCAACGTTTCCTCCGTATGTGATTAACTGCACATTTACATCTGTACACTAAGTGACCTTGTTTAAAAATGCCAAAAAGCCCCATTATTTTGGGATAAACTTTGATGATGGACTGGAGAGCACTGCCCCTAGGACCTGAGGTCTGAAACACCTTTTTAAGATTTAGGAGTAATCAGAATGGAATAGGATAGGAATGTGAAACTCTTGTAATTTCCATAAAAGCTTCTTGAATGTTGGTTTCAATATTTTGGAGGCACCTGGGCAGGGGACTTTGGGTACAGAATAAGCCAAACGTCCCCAAATTCTGATTTACCATGAATGAACAAGCCTTATAGCACATGTAAATTAAATCACAGCTGTTTGGCATTATTTGCCAATGAGAACAGCTAACTAGGCAGCAAAAGCTTTTCACATGGCTCATTTGACATAGAAAGTGGGATCTCTGGTTTCTTCCAAGCAAGCCCAAAATTGAAAGCTAAGAGCAAACCATGGCTTTAGAACCAAGAACAGACATCAGAGCTCCTGATTTGTACGTCATAAGAAACCATAGACAGACCTTCTATTTTTTAGTACTAATAATAAGCTTCTAAATCATGAAATGCTTCTACTAGCAAGAAGAACCTAGCAGGAGCAATAAACAAGGTCCATCTAACATCATTACAGAACTTGGGAATTCTGGTTTATTGTAATGTGCAAACGTTCTCAGGAATTGTGACTTCAACAATTTCATCAACGGTTGTCAAATGCTTGCTCGTTTGTTACCTTTTGGTCTTGTTGTTCCAGCAATGCTTCCTGCTCCAGCAGTTTTTCCATTAATGCCTGTTCTTGCTTTTTTCTCAGTTCATTCTCCTCTTCTGCCTGCTGTTAATGTTAAGAAAAACAAATGCACACTGGTAAGAGCTACTGAAATTTCAAATATACAAGGGACTGGTTCATCCAGCAAAAGACCTATCTCTTAGTACAAATTTAATTCAGACATGTTGCCTATCCAATGAGACAAAACCCCATTTCCTGGACCTATTGTTGCATTAGCTATAAACTCTTTTAGAAGCCCTTAAACTATAAGAGACCCAATTGATTATTTGCATGAAATCTCATAAGTGCTGAATGCAGAGAAAAGCACGTCATAGGGATGACAGTTCTTTTTTTGGTTCTTCTTCTCTTATAGGTAAGAATCCCTGATTACTCAGGTTCTTCTCTAGCTCCACCTTGAATGTTCAAATTGGCAGCTCCCTTCAACTGCCCAATACAGAAGGGCTGCATGTTTGCACATAAAGAAGTATATATTAAGGTAGACCACAGATAGTGAAGACAAAAGGAACAGCATGTATGCTACAATTCTAACGAAGTTTTCCCCTACCAAGACCCAACTCAGGGAAATTAACAGTTTGGGGATGACTATAGAATCATCCACAATTGAGTAAAAGAAGGATCACACTGGGTCTTACTGTTTCCACATGATTGCTGCTATCTATCTTGGCTAATCAAATGCTTCTAAAAAACTGGAAGCTAAAAGACAGATCAAATGAAACAGCACCGAACTCATTACTAGATTCACGGTGACAGTTTTGAGAATTTATAGAATTGCCGTCTTCAGCATAATCCCCTTAGACCAGGGGTAGGCAACCTTGGCTCTTTTCTGACTCGTGGACTTCAACTCCCAGAATTCCTGAGCCAGCATGGCTCAGCTTGGAAACCTCTCCCTTTCCCCTCAGCATGGCTGGCTCAGGAATTCTGGGAGTTGAAGTCCACGAGTCATAAAAGAGCCAAGGTTGACTACCCCTGCCTTAGACTATTTGCCTACAAGTCCCATTAACTCTAGACAATTGGAAATTGTGGGATAAGTGGTCAAAAACCTATCCAGAGGCTTCTAGACCAGAGCTGTATTTATTTCAGAATATATTCATGATTTGGTTTACCTTGTAAGCTTTCACAAATCGTACAAAGACTGGGAAGAAGACCGATGGAGGAGTTGTCTTGGGATTTTCTCCAAAATATTTCACAGCATCATCAAAGGCATCCTGTAAGAGAGACACTTTTAAAAACAATTTCCCACAGAAGCAACTATTTTTGTCTTTTGCACTAAAATAACAAAGAGTCAAGGCTTACAGTAACTGATAATCAATTCATTATGGCATATTTATTTCATTTTGTTACACAAAATACAGCTTCATACAATACAATAAATACTGACTGGAGAAATGGACCCAACCCTTAAATATTTTTATACATCCTCATAGAGAATTATATCCTTCCAGGTAGTATATATAACCTTTTAGTCAACCTCTCTATCGTTTTGAGATATTCCCTCTGCTATCACTATAAAATAAGTACCTTCCTGTGATGTCACAGTCTGCTTCAGGAAGTAGTAATTCTCCTTTGGAAGTTTTTAAACCGGGGCTTAACAATTATCCGTCAGGCATGTTGTAATGGAGCAGAGAATTGGATTAGATTTACAAAGGGCCTTCCAATTCTATGAATCTACTTGTTACAGTTGGCTGCTTTTTCTATTATTACTTGATCTCCATGCCTTGGAGAATC